CAGCCACCTCCGCCACTGTCACAGCCACCTCCGCCAAAATCACAGTCTCCCATGGATAGATCTGTCTGCCCGCTTTGGGGGCTACAATTCTAGTACTCAGCAAGCTGGAGCAGAACACTCAGCGATAGGACGTATATATCTGAGGCGTAAAATGACACGAGTTCCAAACAAGACGTCCTATTTGTACACTTTCTACAAGCACTTTCTGTCAAAAATAGCAGACGGCTTCCTATGTCGTCAGTACCCTGACACACCTACTGTGTGAGTCATGGTCGAGTACACAAAGGAAGAAAAGTAGGGACATTGTAAAATCAAGACGGTTGACATACCTTTTTTTAACACACATTCAGACTTCAAAACACACTCAAGTCTCAGAAGATACATCTGTTAGATAACTTAAGACGATTTCGACAAGTCTGTAATAAGTATGAGAGGGAAAACAAAAACATAATAATAATCATACCCTATTAGAAACCTAGATAAAAAAAATCGCTTCGCCCGGTTATTAACCGAATAACTGACCCAAACATGATCGTAGCCGATGATAATCAGGGGTGCGGTATTTCTTAAAATAGATATTGCGTGAGAAATCGTGACAAAACTTCGATGAAATATGAAAGAAAACCTTTTAAAACAAGTTATGGAGACCTTTTAAAATAGATAGTTTAAATCAAAATGAAAAGAAATGTTAAAATAGCTGCATTTATTCAATCATAACCCAACTGACCAGCCCTTTCTTTTCGTTACATATCAATCTGGTTATATACAAATACATGTATACAAGAAAAAAAAATTTCTTTTGTGTTAATCTTTTGAAATGTTTTCGAGTATACTGTGGTGAATAAATTAAACATGAGACCCTGTGCCCAACCTGTCTAACCACACGTAAACGCGGTCAATGAACCCACTGTGATTGTGTACGCAGATCTAGAGTAGACGCCATGACCTCTAAATTTAAGCGTCATGTACACTTTAAACGAGTCTGTAACCCTTTCGTATATGTTTTAAATTATTATACAGCTATGAAGAGATAATGTAGATATGAATAAAGAAGATGCATGGTTAAAATTGAGTGTTGCCAAATGAGCACGATACATTATTAAAATTCAATGGGGTGCCATACAATAGATCTACTTGTGAAACTGCTGCGTACGAATGTTGTTGGAATGTTGTATTAATACCATTTCTGAACACTTTAGGGATCGTTTTGATTCTACAATACCGTTACGTACATAATGTGTTTGCATTTATAGTTTGAAACGTAATTTGCGCTATAGGTCGATGTATAGCACACTCCATTACATACATTGAACATTGATGTTCGCCCGTAGCAATGGAAATTTCCATCCCTTTGTTTAATGCTGAGACGTTCTGTAGGTCAAATATTTGAATAATGCCCGGTTATTATCGGTCAATGCCTGACAGTTACTTTTGTTTTTTACTTTAGAGTAGAATAGTACAAGCTACAAATATCTGTAATGTATTTTTGTTTTCGTCATTTTTTTTTCAGATACAGATCATACAATCCTTACTTTCCAGACTTCCACCATTTGTCTACCTCTAAGTCCTCCTGGTCAGATTCTGGGACCCTTATATTCACCCCCTTTGTTGTGGCTACCCTTTTGTACGCCTTTATCATGGGCAAACATACATCTAAACCCACAGAACATTGTAGCCTCCTTTGCAGACATGGGGGGTTGGGGGGGGGGGT